ATAGGTAAAAAAATAAAAGTGTAGTTTTAGTGTGCAAAACACAAAGGTTGAGAGTTTTTTTTTTTTTAAGTATGAGAGTGGGTGTACAAGGAGCTTTGGGATTAGATTTTGAGAATAAAAATGACAATCATATTCTTATATTGATTTTTTATCATTGTAAAAAATTACTCTTAAGTTTGTGGAGTAAGCGAATTTTTTCGAATCATGTTAAATCTTGTGTGTCTATTCTTTATTTATCTTTGTTATTTTTCTTTTCATTAAATTGAATTGTTCTCGATGGTGTTTTGAATCTTAGCTTCCTAATTTCCTAAAAAGCTGGTGTTAGAGTTGTGACTTTAAAAGATCCGACTTTTGATCGAAAACGATGTCTATGCATAACAAATTTCAATAACCATGAAACAATACAATATGAACTAAAGTTTTACTATTTGACAAAGAAGGGTGAAAGATATCCTTGTTCAGCGAGCTCGGATAAAGCATTGAAGAGAAAGGATAAAAAGCCAAGAGAGAAAGAGTAGTACAAGTGGGAGGAGTTGTAATCAAGTTACTCTATATTACCAACAACATTATCAATAATGTTAAGAATGAAGAGCGAAGTCCAGCAATATAAGAAAAGTTATAAAATGTTAATTGACAAAGAGTTTACCTAATAAGTTACATCTAAAATGACAATTTTACAAACTGAAAATGGAAGAAGTCAAAAAATTTATGAAGCACTTGAATGATGGATAATGCATCTTATGGAGGTGTGGAATAAAAAAAATATTTTCTCCATCTAAAGAGCCCAAGAACATGTCATTGAATCAACTAATTATATATTCATGAATTAAAGTAATAAATAGAGAATTACATCTTGTAGCACGGATCTAAACCTTTACGGAAAAAGTCATCCAAGTGTTCGACCTCTATCGATAATCCATGCAATCCAAGCACAACAAAAGAAGCACCTTAAATTGATAGAGTACTAGCTCCACCTTTTCCGACTTGTCTAATTTTTCCTATAGAAATCTAATCGGGGTAATATTTGTGACAACCCAAAGAGAGAGAGAAAAAATGGCTTCCTTATCCTTTAAGGATAAGGATGGATGGTAATAAGTCTCTAAAGGACTCTAGGTTGTTACTTCCTAATCCTCCAAGGATTATGAGTTATTTTGCATGTGGACCTTTTTTTTTTATCTTTATCTTTAAAACATTCATTCTTATCAAATAAGATTCATGTTTATCCTCCCACTAAAATATCTTTTAGACTTTTAATTAAACCTATTGGTCCAAAATTATTTTTCCCCAATTAATTAATTTGGATTATCCAAATAAATTAAGCAAGATAATTTTAGGAGGTCCACATTAGGAAATAATTTTTCAAATTACCCTTAAGCCTAAATTAGAAAACTAATTTTCATTTTGGGTTATTCATTCCAAATTTGGAACTAACTTCCAAATTAGGAAATGGATTTCTAAAATTTTTTATTTTAGAAAACTTTCCATTTTAGGAAACTTATCATTTTTAGAAACCTTTCTAAAATAGAAAATTTTCATAATTGAAAACTTTTTTCAACATTTTTGCTTCTCTTTAATCATGTGAATGCTTAAACTTGTGTGTGTGACTCGATAGGCTCCTAGATATGTTGACAATGTATTAAGAATAAAAGACACCTCTTTTATCTCTTGACACATAAGTCAAGATTGGCCTCTAGCAAGGCATCATGACTATCCAATTCTCTAGGAGGATTAATTAATCCATACTTACCTTTCACGAGCATGATTACTATACGATTCGGTCCTCATGTCAACTTATCACAACGTGATCTCGAACTTGGTTATTAATCTCATTCGATTACGGTTACACAAGTTTAATCATGTGAATGCTTAAACTTATGTGTGTGACTTAATAGGCTCCTAGATATGTTAACAATGTATTAAAAATAAAAGACACTTCTTTTATCTCTTGATACATAAGTCAAGATTGGCCTCTAGCAAGGCATCATGACTATCCAATTCTCTAAGAGAATTAATTAATTCGTACTTACCTTTCACGAGCATAATTACTATACAATTTAGTTCTAATGTCAACTTATCACAACATGATCTTAAACTTGGTTATTAGTCTTATTCGATTACGATTACACAAGTTTTCTTCGATTCCCAAATGTCTTAGCTTTTAGAGTAAACCAACTACGCTTTATTGTTATACTCCTATTGTAACCATAAATTTCTTAAGTAGACATTCATCATAGTGCAATGTGATAACTACTTTAAGATAAAATGAATGATATGTCATATCTTAGTCATTCACCTACCTCCATTATATTCCTAATGTAACCAACAAATCGCCCATGTGCAACTCTTTACTAGGATCTATCGAAATGAGTGTTAAAGTATATAAATCTTTCAATGAGATAATTGTGATGACCACAAGTCTAAAGACCAATTGTACCTATCTCATATAAGATTCTTATAGACTAAACCAAATGGGTTCTCATGATGAGTCAAGTCCGGTAATATGTTCTCTAACATAAATCACCTAAATACTTGCTTTGGCATCATCATGCTAGTAGGTGTGAGATCTTCTATTGCTATCATATAGCATGAGCATAGCACTCACAAGTCTATCCATATATAATTAATGTCCATTCTTAATCATGCTACGACTTGAGATATTTAATGATATCATTTATGTGTATTAGTATTTGTCTCATATTTTTCGATCAACCACCAATGCAAATGCATATTATAAGGATTTCTATCTATTCTATGGAATGAGTAAACATAAAACACAAGAATTAATAGAAAGACTTATTTATTATTAATAAAATAAATGATGTAATAATATAATAAGTCAAACCTATCCAAACAAAGTTAGATCTTGAGCACCTACACTAACATTGAATGTTTTTGCTAATATACTAAATCAATCGTAGAAAGTTGATCTCAAGATTGAGAAAGAAAACAAGCCCTTTTGCTTCTTATTTGTCTTCTCAATTCGTTTGAAAATATGGTGATGACACTATTATATAGTAATCATACAATAAATTTAGATCAAGTACATGATACGGTTGTTTCTCATAAGATGCAAAGAAAGTCAAATCAAGAAAAAAATATAGCTTTGTCTTGGTGGCTAGAAAGGACTATCGAAAGGAAGAACAAGCCGAAAAAGATTTTAAAGCGGAAGGTTTGAGTCCGAGTCTAGCAAAAAGAGCATTCAATGTTACATGTGCAAAAAATTCGATCACATCAAATGAGATTGTCCTAAAATAAAGTGAATGGATAAATATGATGATAGTAGAAATTGTTTAATAGTGGTAGAATGCTATAAAAATGTTCTCATAATCTCTAAAAGTATTGATACTTTTTCTCATAATAGTTGGATATTAGATTCTACATGTGCATTGCATGTGCGTTTCGAGAAAAAGTATTTAATGAGTTCTATGAAGAAAAGATTGGCACCATGTCTTTGGTTGGTGTGTCATCTTGTGATATTATAGGTCTAAGAATGGTGAAAATCAAAATGTTTGATGGAGTAGTCCGTATTTTGGATGGTGCGGCTTATGTTACAAAGATATATAGATATTTGATATCTTTGAGCTAGTTAGACTCCAAAAGATACGGTTATTCTATTGCAATGGAGTCTTCAAAGTCACACATAATGACACAATTATGATTAAAAAAAAAAGTGTGATGATTTATATCGTCTAATTACAAAGACAATGACCTTGAGAAGTAATTGATAATATAGTACACAAGATGTTACTTGAAAATAGTCTCTGCGGGATTGGAAAAGATACATAAATTATGCATTTTTAGGTTTTAGATGAGTGTAAGGAGAAAGACCCTAATGAGAAAGACGATGGAGGATGACTCTTTTTAGAGTTAAAGAGTAAAATTAACCCGAGGCGGCTAGATATGGGTATTGATCATGTTTTTTTTTCTTTTGAATTATGTGGAGATCGAGCTTGTTTATTGAAACAAGTCATGTATAGCCGAGTAAATTTTAAGGTCAATTGTGATTTCTACTTTTCTATAGGTAGAGCCAACAAACTTTAAAATGGCAAGAATATTTGTCAAAGTAAAGATTATTCGGCTTATGACTTGTATTCCTTAAAGTAAGGGTCAAGTAAATAGAATGAAGTAGAGGCCAATGATTCTTTGTTCACTAAGGATTTTAGCCATTATAAATAGCTGAGAACACGTGTAATTTTAGAGTACAAAACACAAGAGATGAGAGGTTTTGTTTTAGTGTGGGAGCATATGTACAAGGAACTTTAGATGTACAAAGGGGCTTTATGAATATATTTTGGGTATAAAAATTATAATTATATTCTTTTAATGATTTTCTTTCATGGTAAAGAATTATCTCGGATTAGTGGAATAGGCAGGATTTTGTGGAATCACATTAAATTTCGTGTGTGTAATATTTATTTTATTTTATTTTATTTTTATTAAATTGAGTTGTCTGTGGAGGTATGTTAAATCTCATATCCTTAATTTTCCAACAAAAAGATACGACTCACCTCATTGATATTCAGAGTTCCTTCTTTAAGTTTCCAAAAACTGAAAGCGAATTCTGTTTATTGTCTATCAAGAAAACAAAAAGTCTCTTCATCCTTGCAGCATCTCTTTATTACTATTTAGCATCTCTTCATTACTTTGTTCCCCAGACGAGTACCAAATTCTTGCTAATTATATATGTAATAATGATTTGCAAAAGCTGGTCATGCAAGCTTTAAATTGGAGGAAATATATACCAGAATCCACTTCCATTTATTAATTTGTAAAGCATCCCATACCTTTTCTTGCTTGCTGTAACAACAATATGCAGCAATTCGTTGCTTCTGACAACTTACCCAAAATCTACTGCATAAGTCTTTTCTCGCAAATAAGAATCTTTTCACCTATCCGTTTTAAGAGCTTTTTTTAAGAGATATCCACATTTAATTTTCATCTTACAAAACAGTTTCTTCGGGGGTTCATCAAGAGAAATAGTTGCCACTGTTGAGGAAAAGATGGCAATGCTTAAAAAATTGCCCGAAGAAGTCTTAAATTTGTGGTACAAATGGGAGATTCGAGGAATGGTTTTACTTAGTCTCTTGCTACAAATCATCCTCATCATATTCGGTTCTCGACGAAAGCACATTGTAAGAAGCTGGATCAGGATTCTTGTTTGGTCTGCATACCTATCAGCAGACATGGTGGCAACTGCTGCACTGAATAATCTTTCCAGGACCCAAGGAGATTCGGGTGACGGTTCAATGAAACCAAACAATTTAATCCAGGCATTTTGGGCACCTTTTCTACTCCTGCACCTTGGTGGCCCAGACACAATCACTGCATACGCGATTGAAGATAACGAGTTGTGGTTAAGGCACGTTTATAGTCTAGCACTCCAATTCGGAGTGGTTTTTTATATCTTCTCAAGGTTTTGGGGTAGTGATATCCTCACCTTCATAGCAATCCCGATGTTCATTGTTGGCATCATCAAGTATGCAGAGAGGACTTGGGTGCTCAGGTCTTCATGCTCCAAGAACTTAAAAGAGGCTGTTCTCTCAAAATTTCGACCTTTTTATCCATTAAGGGCATTATCTGCAACTCTTCGACAAGCTTTCGAGGGAAATTATCTTCGTCGAGCTCGTACTTTTTTCAATATATCCATGTTTATGATGCAGGATCTTGTCCCTGGCATTCCTGCACTAATGAACAGCCAGTTGATCATTTCCGCAAATTCAGCAGAAGATGCTTTCAAGGTGGTGGAGGTTGAGCTTGGATTAATTTATGATTGGCTATATACTAAAGCGCCCCTGATTTATTCCCCTGTGGGAATCGTTCTTCGTTTTGTCACCGTTTTGCTCTCTTTCACTGCATTCGTTACCTTCGAAGTCATGATCGACAGGCATGCCTACTCAACAATCGACATTACAATTGCATATTTATTGTTATTCGGAACTGTTTTTCTCGAGATTTATGCTTTGCTGTGCCTCGTTTTCTCTGACCGAACAATGATTTGGTTGATTGATGAAGGAGGAAACGCCCTAACTCGTCAAATTTGTCGTGCTATTTATTCTCTGACGGGGAAGTTAACTACAAGCAAGAGGTAGTCGAGATCTATAGCACAGCATAACCTTATAAGTTCTTGCTTCGAAAACAAGCCACGTAAATGCTTGGAATTGTTCGGAATCCATGAAATGATGAAGCAGATGTATGTGAATCGGGAAGATATGAATGTTGGGCTACAACGTTTTATTTTTGGACACCTTCAAAAGAAAGAATGAGAAGATCAAGGAAAATTTTAATTTCATTGATAAAAATTTCAGAAGGAAAATAATAGCTCATAGAGGAGATGGTGTGCTAGGAAGAGAGGGACAATTATATGACTTCAAGTGGTGCACAACCGAAGTAGAATTCAGTCGGAGCCTCCTTGTTTGGCACCTCGCAACCGATGTTTGTTATTGTGCTGATCAAAATGCAAATTATGTCTCCTCGGAACGGGAAACAAGCAAATGCTTATCGGAATACATGATGTATCTCTTGGTGATGAGACCAAATATGCTCCCTAAAGGAATCGGTGATATAGAAAAGGCATATCAAGATACTTGCCAAGACTTGGAGCTTCTAGGAAGATGCATCGCAACAGGCAAGAAAGCATTGAGCAAGAAGGACGTTGTCGACACAATGCTGGCCGACGTTGAATCATATGCCACCATTGATAGTGACTTCCAATGTTATTGGAGAACAACCAAGTCCGTGCTAGATGGCGGGTATAGGCTTGCCAAGCAATTGCGGTCACTGGAATTTGCGAAGCGATGGGAGATGATAAACGAAGTTTGGATTGAAATGCTTGCTCATGCTGCAGCCCATTGTCCATGGAAAGAACGTGCTCAACAACTGAGAAGAGGTGGAGAGTTGCTCACTCATGTCTGCTTTCTTATGCTACATCTTGGTTTGAGCGAACAGTATGAATACTTTCAATCTGAACAGACACAATTTCTTAGTTGTTGGAAATTAACAGTGGTAAGTGTACCAAATTATCTTTCAGAGTACTTTAAATTGGATGCCATATTTAACTTCAAGAAATTGGTTCGATAGGGAAATATATATATATATATATATATATATATGATTACTTGAATTTTAATTTTAATAACAATTTAATGATGTTTAATCGAAAATTTTCACGTAAAAAAGGAGGAGCAACGACAATGTGTTTTGGCCATAGGAAGGTACGAGCTAGGTAATGCAGACATATCACTGTCAATTGCTGATGAGGTATGGTACCCATTTTCTTTCTTGCTATCCTTTTCCTCAAGTAGATTGTATGCTAGAATTTCTTTCTAGAGTATTTATAATTTATTTATTCATTTATTTATTTATGGTGAGAGATCATGGCAGTAGCCAAAAAAAAAATTAAAAAAAAGAAGAAGGAAGAATGGGCAGTTTAATTATATATATATAAACTCGAACTTGTTGATATATCTTCACCGATCACTTGTTTGCATTTAATTAGTTGAATTTTACAATTTAGCATTGCTTCGTTGTAAAGGCATATAGAATCTTTCCTTTTTACCGTGAAATAGTTACTATTAACCTTTTTTCATACTTTAAAATATATAAATGTTATCCTATAATTTCTAAAAAATTTATATATAAATGTTATCCTATAATTTCTAAAAAATTTATATATAAATGTTATCCTATAATTTCTAAAAAGTTTCGGTTTTGTCCTTTTATTTAATAACTATTTACTAACTAAAAGCTTACCGTTTTCTTTTCTTCTTTTTTATTTTTTTCAATTTTTTCTTATATTTCTCTCATTTTTCCTCTCACATCCCAGGTATGTTATAATATATCATAAAAACACTTAAAAACCTTCCCTAAAAAAAAAAAAAATCAGAAACCCAATTTAAACAGTAAGCTTTTTAATGGTGACAGGAATATTGGAAATTTTGGAAACTAGAGGGATAATACTAGAAAATTTTGAACTATAGTAGCAGAACTAGAACATTAATGAATCTATAGGAGCAGAAATAAAATTTACGCAATAATATTTTTGCGCATCATATATGTCATTCAATGTTGATTTTCAGTCTTTATTAAAAATAATGTTGATTTTAAGCAAGTTATGTGACTGATATATCACCATTAGAGGCACCTTGTCCGGGGTGACAATGGAGGTACACTCTCCCCTCCATAAACTTTTACCTTCTATACATATTTGTCTCCATATTTTTTGAAGGTAATTTATAATCATTTATACTCATCTTTATTAAAGGCAAAGGCAAATCTTGCATGAAAGCAGTTTCGAAAACACATTTATTATTGGATATGAGAAAAAAATAGTTAAATTGCATCTGTATAATTTACATTACTCATACTCCAATATTTGCTATTTTGAAGGAGGTGAAAGAACTTCAAAGAGTGGCAGCAAATAAAGAGAGAGAGCTTGAGCACAAAAATGAAGAACTCGAGCGTAAAGACCGAGAGCTTGAGCATTTGCGATCTCTGTTAGCCGCATCAACTCAACCGCAGCGACTCGATGCACTTCCAGGAGGTTCGTCAGCACAAAGTGATAATCAAGGGACTGGTGATAAGATCATATTAAGCGTTCAATAAGAGTGATAGCTCTTGTGTTTCCATAATTATGTAAGCGAGCCTGAAATAAATAATAATGGCATGCAAATTGCTGAATGGTCTCATCAAGAAACATTGACCAAAACATCTGTGTTCGTTATTTACATGTGTGTTCATTAGTTGAAATAATAAAAGTACTGATTTATTAATGTTATAATTGTTGCTGAAAATGAGCAAAAATATTTTGCCTAATTAGCTTGAATCTCTTGAGAAGGGATATGGAGTACGTATCCCATCGTATTCATCCTTTGCATGTGGGTTTAATGATACTGAAAACCTTTGTGGTGGCAGATATTTTATACAGACAACTTTATATTTCTAATTGGACAATTAAGTGTGACATTTGGATGTTAATATAGTACTAGTTTTTGTGAAAATATCTCACATTAAATAAATAAATAAATAAAATACAAATTAATATAAAAAATATTGAATAGATTATTTATCATAAGGCTTGAGTTTCTTTTGAATAAAATCTAATTTCAGCTATCTAATTCTATGTAGTTTTAAAGTTCAAAGAGTTTTTATTAATTTATTGCTAGATTTTTTATTTAAAATGTTAAAGCAATTATTTATTTTAAAGTAAAAATAATATATTGATTGAAAAATCTTTTATTAACTTTTTACTTATTTATAATCTCATAATATACAATGAATGTTAAGAAATAGATATGAAACACATTTAATGATGGTAACTGTATAATATTTCGTTAGCATGCATGATTTTTCGTGAATATATATAATTTACATAAATTTGGCTTCTTTCTTAATATTTTCTTTGTCTTTTTAAAATAAAATAAAAAATTAGCTTGAAAAATAAAAAAACATATCCAATATAAATATAAAAAAATCAATCAATGCTTTTGTTTTTAATTTGTAAGATATTGTTTAAAGTTTTTGTCCAAACGTTAATATAAAATTAAAATAAATTTGCTAAGCATAAATGAAGAAAAATATCAAAAAATAATCAATATTTTATCATTTTTTTAATTTTTAATTTTTCTGAAAATAGAATCAATAAAATAACTCAAAGAGTTTTAGATGTTATTTGATAATAAAGAATGAAATAGTGGGAATGAGAATGAAAGTTTAATTCTTACTTTGTATGTGTCTAGTTGAAAGAAATGAAGTAGAAATAAAAATAAAAATAAAAATTAAATATAATTTTATTATCATGGGAGGAAGTAGGAGTAAAAAAAAGAATATAAATATTTTTTTCTTCAAAAATAATAATATATTATTATTATTATTGTATATTAACTACTCATACCACTATCACCATTTCCACCTTCACCACCACAACAACAACAATTGGAGGAGGAAATAAAAAATAAATAAATAAAAGAAAAAAGAAGCTATTTTCCATTATTATTCCACCATTATTTTTATTATACCTTCCAAAAAAAAATTATTATTATTCTCTCGTCACTCCTCATCTACCACCACCACAACACTTCTTATAGTGGTTGTATTAATTTTTAAAAAATATGTTATTGTTATTATTATCATTATCATTATCACCACTACCACAATCACTTTTATTATTTTTACTATCATCATATATGATGAAATTATTTTTTTAATTATCATTATTATTTGTTAGATATTAAAAAATTTAAATTTTATTTAAATTTTTCATTATTATTTTAAATACAATATGAGAATATAAATGTTATTTTATATTTTTAATTTTTATTTCGATTTTTCATTCCTCGTGTCATTAAATCTATGCATGTGTGTTGATTTGAAATTTTTAATTAATGTTTTCTCGAATTAAAATGTTGTTGGAGATTTCCCATCGGGTATTTTACCATTATTCCAAGAAGAACAAGAGCGAAAAAGAAAATAAATAAATAAATAAAGGGTCCAATGGTGAATATGGGCAAAACTGTAATCTTCTTCTGAATTCTGAACTTAAAAAGAAAATAAAAAAACTATAGGGACCAAATTGTACCACAACATTGGACGACAAAGATAAGGAAAGGCCCAAAGTAGTGGGTAGAAGCCTAGAAGTAGCTTGTGTGGGGAGCACGAGAGCCACGCTTCCACGTGTTCTCCAAACTTCCTATGCTCCTACGCTATTTACCTCCAGACACCACTCTCTCATCTCCATATCTTTTTTCTTTCCTCGTTACTGTTACACAAAGGCAGACTGAGAAGAAGAGAGAAGGAAAAGGTCCTGCAAAAATGGCCTTCCATGCACCAACAAGGCTTCAAGCCACAAAAACATCACCACCTCCTTCTCTTCTATCTCCTACTGGCAACAATGTTGGCCTAAGAGGACCAACCAATCGTTTTGCTCTAAAATCGTCTTTCTTTTCTCCTTCACTTCACCTCTTGATTGCTTCATATAATCAGCAGCAGCCTCTTGCATCTGCTGCTCCAAGATTCTCCATGCGTGCTGCAACCAAGCAAGCCTACATTTGTAGAGATTGCGGGTATTATTTATTTCCCCTTTTCTTCTTTTATTTCTTCCACTGGTTTTAGTATCTTGAAGCTAAATTAACAGGGATTCGGTATAATTGATTGATTATGGTGATGCAGGTACATTTACAATGACAGGAAACCCTTTGAGAAACTGCCTGATAATTACTTCTGCCCTGGTGATTTTACTTTCATCTCTGGAATTTGAATTTTCATTTTCCACTGAAAAAATTACCTTGTGGCAATCCCTCACAGAACCAACTGATCATGTCTAGTCATTGTTACTGGTTGTGTTTAGCACTGATAATTTTCCTTGCTCCAAAGCACAAACTGGTGGCGGATACCCTAGAATCTAGATAGCCTTATCCACAGTGTGTTGATTTCATTGGTTTATTCAAGTATTGCTATCCAATCATAAACGAAATGCTTGACAAGTGGTTTTACAGGAAAAAGAATTTAGGGAGAATTTTTTAACCTTTTACAAAATTACAAGGGTTAATACTAAATGCTGAGTTAAATTATGGTCTGCAGTTTGTGGTGCTCCTAAAAGGAGATTTAGAGCATTTGCGCCTGATGTGGCAAAAAATGCTAATGACAAAGATGTTCGAAAAGCACGTAAAGCACAAATCCAGAGAGATGAAGCAATTGGGTATGCATGATTCTTCAAAACTGGCGAAATAATGCAATCTTACATTTTGTACTTTCTTTATAGCTTGTTCATGCTGTAATTCATGCTCTTTGATTTGCATTTCAATTTGCCAGGCGAGCGTTGCCTATTGCTGTTGTGGTTGGAGTTGTAGTACTTGCTGGCTTGTACTTCTACCTCAACAATTCCCTCCCAGGTTGAATGGCAGCAAATCCTTCAGAAGCTCAAATTGAGAAGACCCTCATCATGTGAATGCTAGCGTTTCTAGAACTTTTCTTGTTTTTTTTTATTCAACATCTGTTCAATAGCACTTTTTGCTGTTATGGGAGCTGAAAAACTGAAATCTTTTTATCATTCTGAAGAACCATACAAAAGAACAGAGTTTAAAGCTGAACTTCGTAAGTTGGCAATAAAACACGAGTTTCTCCCATTTCTTCAGACTGCATCTAGGAAATAAGCTTGATGACGCATTGCAACTACAAAGCTAGAAATTGCTAAAACATCCCATTTGTTAAGTATCATCTGTGTATCAAAGTGCTTCTTTGATTGCTCAAGACATTTCTTTTCCGAATAAAAGAATAAAAAATCTTCCATTCCCTCCTGAAAGAGTTATGCAATAATCATATTGCCATATCATACCAGCTATGTCCTCTAGTATCTATACCTCTCAAATCCTAACATAATCGTTAGCAAATTATGATGGGTTTTAATGCCCCAAATATCATCCAGACAGCGTATTCATTTACAGTAGATTGTAATGCAAATGTTACATGTTACCTATACAACCAAACAAAATTTTTGAAAGGTTCGCAGATGGGGGCAAGAAAAATTGGTGAAATAATTTAAAGTTCGATAACTTTACATACTATGGCTGATTATACATGTGGCAAGTGATCATTCTTGCAAGACAAATGAACCTTCTATTCTTCTTTTCTCCATCGATTGGGGTGGGGGAAAGTTTAAAGGAGAAAACAAGTCACTGACACTAGAGGCTGGAGCAGGCTTGAACTCATAAGGTCCCTCTTTCACTCCCCAAACCTGTAACCAAAAATAATGTTACTGAAAAGAATGAAGGAAAAAAAGAAAAGAAAGGATAAGCTCTTACTTGATTCCCAAATAAAATGATGCTCAAATCAAACGAGCAGCCACGAAACCAACCTGATTTCCATCATCATCATATCCCCTATCCCAGGTATGTATTTCATTATTCTTCAGAACTGCAAGTTCTGAAGTGCAATAGGTTGCTCCATTCTGTCAGAGGAAAGAGACTATATTAGCACTGTGTATACTTGTTTCTTCTTCTAGAAAACCTAGTATTAACATAGAGCTCACTGGTGCATCAGAAAAATATGCCTGTGAGGACTGAGAAAATAAAGAACTGAATAAACGGCAATCAGGGTGAAAGACAAGTACCCATGAATTTGGGAATCCATCGGGTGGAGTAGAACCTTCATATAAGCAGCGCTTTCCACGGTCACAGCGTTTGAGATGTATTGTTGTCAGATGTTCTGCAATGTCCTGCACCATGCATAACAATGCAAAAACATTAAGAAGTCACAAACTTTATCATATTTATTCACAGAATTAAAATTAATCATTTCTCATACGATCAGGACAAGACAAAGATTACGATTAAACATTCCTAGACTCTGCCCTTTTTAATCTTAAGCAAATGTGGCAGTTTGCTAAAATCTATGATTTTTCAAATGATGTAGATATGTATTAAGGATGAAGAAGAAAAGGAGAAAAGAGGTAGGGTGAGCCAGAAGAACAGTTGCAGAGTCTAGCCATCTGTGGTTTACATCAATAGATAACAAAGAATTCTGGTCCCTATTTTGGTGTACCAAACCTAATTGTCATAGAGAATTCAAGGCAATTATTATGCTGCAGGCCTTGGACCGACCATTCTTGACCAATTCAACTATAATCACACCTGAGCTCAAACCCCATCTAAACAAAGACAGAGTGAGATTTAATTGAAAACTTCCTCAAAGTCCAATCCAAAAACCAATTAATCGGTACAAATCAGAATCAAATCTAATTGTGTCTAGAAGGCTTACACCAATAACCTCTTCTGGCAGTGGTCGCTGGTCCTTTGGTCGATCACAGAAATTTTTGTACTCCTCTGCATCTCTAATGGCGTATGAACCTACCTGCCCATTGAACGAAGGTCAAAAAGATCTTGAATGATGGCTAAGGTGTTCATGAAAAGTTCTAAAACTATTTCAAAAAGAAAAGGGGAAGAGACAATTTAATCACGGGCCAATGATGAAAGGAAACGGTCACTCATCAGAATGCTACCATTGGGAATCCACAAGAAAAAGCATTATAGCTCCACCAATAAAGCATACAAGGAAAATGCTTTTACACTATAGCCACAGATTATAAATAGTTTTCATGGTTTTATTACAATAAGAAAACTAAAGACAATATCGAAGAAGCCCATGCAAGGTTTGATGGTAAGTCTGAAAATCATGTTTCCAAATAAATAATAATTGAATTACATCACTGATGAAATTTAATGAGATCGACAGAATTTCAGGAACAATTATTGCAAAAGATCAAAGAGTCTTAAAAAACGATGAAGAAGAAAGTCTAATCAATAAAAAAAGCACTTCTTTTGGCACAAAAACACCTGCTAAGTATGCATGGTAGTACTAATAATATTGATGCTGGAGATTTTCAAAGTGTGCCCTAAACTGCAATAGAAAGGGATATCTTCGTGTCTTTAAACATAAGCTCACATACAAGGTAACACAGTAGCACATTATGCACTGATAGAAACATTAGTCAAAGTAGAAAGTCACCTCAACATCGCATTTCAACTCCTTTGGACAAGGCTTAACCATATAAAACCTCTGCAAAGATGAACTTGTCAGATTTCTCCAACATAAGCATCGCTAAAATGGAAGCAAGAGCTAAAGTATGTAAGAGTAGTAGAGAATTAAAGCAGAAAAAATGACATCTAAATTTTAAATCAATTCCACAACATTATCTTCTTTTTGGACAAGTCCACCACTGAAACTTTTAAACTTCAAATACAGATAGCAAAAGCCTTTCGTGCAAACTTATTTTCAAGGAACAATAATCTAATAATAAAAAATACTCAAGAAAAAAAATAAAAAATAAAAATAATGAGACACAGTTGCCAAGGATGCCATTGTTTAGACCGTAAACAAATATATTGATAATGCAATAGATTACAGGGAACACAGCATACCTGCCGAAATGGCTTTTGAGGAGTTCTCCAGAATGCCTAAACGTAAAAACATAATTCTCATTAAACCAGAAAATCACTCATCTAAACCTAAAAATTACATTACAATAGTTAAATGCGGTGAGGTAAACAAAACAAACCTGTTCAAAATACAAAACCTTTGAACCATCCACCATCTCTGCTGCTGGGCAGGTAAGCATTCTGCACCAACGACAAAATAACCGCAACTAAATTACCAAAAGCAATTCATTCATTTCACAAAAATCAAAACTTTCTCATTAAATTAAAATTTCTAAAACCAATTCACTATTTTTCATAACTTCACTTCACCAAAACAATTAAAACTCCGATTCACCACTTACATAACATTAACTAAACAATTAAACAAATCAAAAAAAAAAAAAACGAAAAGTACCTAATATTGAAGTAATTATCAGGGTCTCTAGATGCTTGCTCCTTCGAAAACTACCAAAACAAAAACCCAAATCAAAATTCAACTAAATCCAGAATTTAAATTCACTAAAAAGCAAAGAAGAAGCATAAAATAATACCTTTTCGCCAGTAAGTGATTGAGCAACAATTTTCGCATGGTCCCAACGAGTTGTAGACTTCGTCAGTCTCTTCACCAGAAAAACCCCACCAACCAAAACCAGAGTCTTCACCACTAACCCTCGAGCTCTACTCCACCCGTTTGAGTCTGAAGCCGGGTCAGACCCTGAGCCCGAACCCGAGCCCGTTACCATTTAAGAAAAAAACACACGCCACAATCTCACTGTGCTTCCACTCTAAACAAAAACCAAAGAGCCAACACCGATAGCATCTCGTGACTCGGTGAGTCAGAGATAAGGAAGGAGAGAATCGAATGATTGAATTACAGAGATAAAAGTTCAGCAGAGCCCAGGAGTTGCTGATGGAAGTTTCTGTTGTCGCGTAGTAGAAAGGAGGCTGGCTTTTGAGATCGTCAGTTCAAAGGTTCTGTTTCTTCGTTTTGGGCTAAATAATTTTATTGCAGTGTTAGGAGCTGGGCCGTTCTCAGCCTTACACTTGGTGTTAGGCAATCACTCGTGGGTCCCATTGCATTTTCCATTTTAAAAATTTTTTATGTATAATTACAAAAAAAAAATGTAAATTTAATAAATAATTGTACTTTTTTGCCATTGTAATTTGTAAAGCATTACAACACGAGATTAAATAAATAATGAGAAATGTGGACAACATAGTTAGGTCTCTGAGATAAGATCAAGATGAGAACAAGCAATCTATGAAGTATGGATATAAATAAGGATTACGTATGCGATCCGATATGCTTAATCATAGATTCATTAATTTCTTAATATACATGCAAAATTTATTTTTATAGTAAATTAAAAATGGAACCCAAAAGATCAATATATAAGCAATAATAAGTAAAAAAATAAAATAATAGAGATAAATGTTATTTATATATTTTTAATAACTATAAATAAATTTTGATATCTTTAAATTAAATTATTTTGACAACGAGTATCTTGGTTATAAAAGGATCTATGGTCGAACTGATATGTAAACTGTATCTCATATATTTTGTCGGACTTTGAACATCCAATATTGAATTAATTTTTTTAGATCCCCACTTATTTGATATGTATCGAGCACTATTCGATATAAGTTTGACGCGGATATGAGGTTTTTGAAGTATTAGTGCTTCTTAGCACAAATATAACTCTTATTATCTTTAAATCATAAATAAATTGAATTAGAATATAATAATCAATTTATACACAAGTTGATAAAGAAAATGATTTTTTACCTACCTATTAGATAAAAAAATATTCATTTAATGAAGAAATGACTTCATAAATCATTTATATTATATTATCACGAACTATGATTATTCACGCATCTTTAAATAATAATCATTACTTAAAAAAAAAAATCAAATCTTCAAGTAGACGTCAGAGAGAAACTATTGAATGTACATAAAAAAATCATTTTACCTTCACTTTATGTAAGTTGATTAAACACTCTTTTATATAAAGATTAACAAACCAAATATTATCAGCTTTATCTATAAACTAATTATAAATTATCATCGATGTACAAAAACTAATTTCTTCATAACCTACTTATTTTAAACATATCTATTTACAAACTAATTTAACTATCTAATGGTTGGATCCTTAGGTAAAAATTTATTTTATAAATACTTATCATCAAATCAACCATTACATTGGAAGTATCCCACGATCAACTAGAGTTAAAAACCATCTCATCAACAATTATACTCTTGAGTATTACTCACTTGTTACTGCTCATATAGCATATCATTGCTTCGTGTGGGACCAACTAGAGTTGATGATGGCAACGTGCTATTTGTGATCAACCGGAGGATATATATCATAAATGGAGCAAGAATTGAGGGTTCTAGTAATGCTTTAACATGTGTATCTTTTCATTTCATTATAAATATTATATGTTATGTGATACGCTAAGATATAATGGGCTGCTTAAATGTTAGCCCAATGCACATAACAGGGTTCAAGTAAGACATCCAGTCCAACAACAAGAGGGTCAGCAGATATTCTCCGTCCATGTCTGTGTCTTGATTGACATCAGACTACACAGGCAAAAGCCAAAAAGCTCAAAGAATACCATGCAGGGTGATCATTTGGTTTTTTTAATTCGATTTCGATGTTTTTTTTTGTTTTTTTTTTGTTTTTGATTAATCAAATTAGCTATAACAAAAATCAAAATTGAATCGAATTGAGATTCGGTTTTGCGGTTAAAAAATCGAATTTTTTCGGTTCGATTTTTTGATTTTTTATTAAAAATCGATTTTTTTTTTTTACATTTTTTTGTTCTAAAAACCGAATTATTTCTCTTTTTATAAATATTAAATTTGCATAATCAAAGATTGCATATTTCACATTTGATTTTAAAAGAAAATTATGTAAGATTATTATTATTTTTCTATACTAAATTTGTTTCCATTTATATTATAAATTAAATTAGTTGGCCTTCTCATTATTTTTTCAATCACGCTACAATTGGTTTTTTGTTAATTTTTCATATTCTTTTTAATCTACTTATTTTGTGCATATTTTATTATTGAATAGATAATATGAAAAATCTAATTTTTAATTTATGTTTAGTATAAGCATAAAAAGATTGAAAAAAAATTATTATTGTTGGTTGTTATTAATACTACTATAGTACTATTATAAATGCAGCGACTTCGGGTCAACTTTTTTAGAGGATATTTTTGGGCCAATTTTAATACAAGGAGATAATTTTTTTTTCCATGAGGTTTTATGATTCACCCACACATAAACTTGTATATTTATAAAGAATTATTTTATCACACTCTTTTTTTATTTGTTTGTGAGTCAATATAATATAATCAATTATTTTATTATTTCAATAAATAATTAATGAAAAATATTTTTATTTTAAGTAGAAAAAAATCATTAAAGCTATTATTCTTTTAGTTAAACCCATAGATGCCTCTTTTATTTAAAAAAAAAAAAAAAAAAACTAATTCGATTTTTGGTGAAAACCGAATTTAAAAAAAAAAAAACCAAACCAAATCAAAATAATTTCGATTCGGTTCGATTTTTTGGTTTTAATCGAATAATGTTCACCCCTACTACCATATACATGTACCATAAGAAACTTCAACTACTAATGTTGCACCCGAGTCCCATTAGAAAAATGGAAGTCTCTTCAAAGAATTTTTTTTTACAAATAAGTGGTTAGAACAACTATAAGAAGTAGGTTTTATCAAGACATTAGACATTATTTACAATATTAGGCTATGTTTGTTTGGGGGAAAACAAGTTCCAAGAACTTGTTTTCTTTATTTTTCAATATTTGTTTCGCATTTAGGAAATAAGTCAACGAAAAATGATTTTCAATCAATAGAAAATGATAGAGTATTTTTAAAAAAGTGTTTTCCGAGTTAAAAAAGAAGAAAACATTTTCTTTCTCTCTCACATTACTTACTTCTCTCTCGATATATTTTAACAATTTTTTCTTTGTTTCCTTTTTATTTAAAATATATCAAATTAATTTTTAATTATTTCTTATTTAATTATTTTTTCTCTATTTCTACTAACATTTGATTTTTTTTTTACGGATACATTAAATATTCTTAAAAACCATTTTTACATCCGCAAATTATTTTTATAATAAATATTTTAATAATTTATCTCTATTTTTTTTTTTACCATTATCCCAAACACCCCTAAACTATACTTAAATGATTGAAAATGATTATTGCAAGACTACAATCATTTGTGAAAAATTTGAAACTAATTAATTCATTAATAAATACATTATTTTTCTAATACTATTCATTTGTAACTAAATCAATAATTTACGACTAATGTTTATTAGTTGTAAAATTTTGTTATTAATTGTAGTCAATAATTAGTTATAAATTATTTTAACATTAATCTTTTGAAACCAAATGAATAATTATTTACAAATGATAACTACACTTTATAAAATTATTTTTATATTAAATTATCAATTTAATTTTTCAAAAAAAATATTTTTTATTTAAGTTTTTTATATCAAACAAACACGTAAATATATTTTTTAATAATTTTTTTATGTAATTGTCAAACGTTAAAAAAATATTTTTATAGAAAAATAATTCTTACATAATTAATTTTTCTATAGAAGTTATTTTCCGTCACAAGCCTTAAGCGTTTTTAGGATTATATTAACCTTTTTATGTACGCTAGAAGATCTCCCTAAACTCAGTTGGAGGATTTTGTTCTGCAAATATTATCATCAAGATCACAAGTATAGGACTCTCCATCGACATACGATTGGCTAAGAAGAAAGCTTATCCATCTATTCATGGATTGAGGATCTACAACCTCCGGCAACAAGACAATATTGTAGATTGCCTTCTCCCGATGGTAGTTGTCATTACATCCTCGGGAGGATTTAGGTTTCCATCATCATTTAAACGACCATAGACTACTGGAAGTTGTGTCCAAATCGGGGGTTCGCGAAGCTGAGGTTTTCGCATTGAGCACAGATTCTTGGAGAGGAGTTACGGGCAATATTACTACATATAACTATCTTATTTTTAATCCAGTGATTCTATAAGGATTGTGGCATTGCATAGCCGTACATCGAGGAAGACGCCACATTCTAACTTTTGACATGGTTGACTACACTTTCTCGAAGATGAAAGCTGCTCTACCTTATGAGGTCATGGGCCTGGGTATGTGGATGGAATAACATAGCTTATGGTATACAAAGAATTGCTAGCTGGGAGCATCCACGAAGGAGTAGACTGAAAATCAGCTTTGAAGTTTGATATATGGGTAATGAAGGATGATTCTTCGACAGAGCTATTCTTATGTAGTGGACAACAAAATCCATTGGATATGACTACTATGCTGAAACCCTTGAGGAATTTAGGAAGATGATAAAATTATATTTAATGGAACAAACAAAACTCCAACCAGTTGGAAGGAGAACTGGCTTGTGTTTGTTTGACCCCTCAATCCAACAATCTAAAATGCTTCTGGTAAAGAAAGCTCATAGGTTTTGTCATACCCTAAAATTTTACCTTTTGTGTATTATTTTTGTGTTCTTTATTTTATTTTCATTATTTAAATTTAGGCTTGCTTTGTATAAAATCAAGACAAAAAATACATACATACATACATACATATATATATATATATATATATATATATATATATATATATATATATATATATATATATATATATATAATTTTTCTTTTATTTATTTATTTATAATTCGAACCAAATTACAAAAAATAAAATAAAATACAAAAATACAAAACAAAACAAAAAATTTTCAACTTGCGAGCTGCCTAACTCCTCTCAAGTCAACAATTTCGGCACCCTCTGCACTCGCCGACCACCCTACTGCTACATATTCCAGCGAGTTGAATCACCATACAACCTCCACGAGTGCCTCCAGCTGACCTCACTGCTTCGGCCACACAACTCCCACGAGTCCCTCCGGACAACTTCCCCCATATCTAGCAATCTCCGGGGCAATCCCCCAATTCCTGCAACCTCACCATGCTGCAAATTGCGGCAAGCGCACTACCTTCCCCTTACCGGCCACTCGCCATAGCCATCCCTAGGACCAAAAAAATGGTCGGACACGCCCACTCCGGAAAACTCGCGAGAAAATCCCCCACCATCATAGTGGGGGAATCAACCAAGCCACATTCACATATATATATACATACGAGGGACGGCAAAGAAAAAAAAAAGAAAAAAGAAAAAAAGACGAGGGAGGGGGGATTTTTTTTCTTTAGTCCGATATCCAAGAAAATTAAGAGTGAAGCACTGCAAAATTAGGAGAGAGTTAGCGATAAAAAAAAAAAAGAGAGGCAAATCGACGAGTAAAGAAAAAAAGAGAGAAAATCAAAAAAAAAAAAAGGGAAATTAAATTTACCGAATCGAAGGCGAGTCCTCATCCATTCCAACCAATTCTTTTAGGTAATCCCTCTAATTTCTCTTTAATTTCGTTTTTTTGTTTCAATTTAAGTCCGATTTAAATTTGGGATTTTTTCGAAATTGTAAAAATTTGAAGAATAGATTTGGGGGTTTTGATAAAATTGAGTCCTAAAGGGTCGAATTAACTTGATTTCACTCTAATCAAAGCAATATCGCATGAAAATTTGAAGAATTGAAAAATTAAGGTTCGGTCGAATTGGAGAAAATTTTTAGAAATTGATTTGGGGGTTTTTGTTTGAGCGAAGAAGGAAAGAAGGGAGAAGAAAGAGAGAAAAGGAAAATCAGGCTGCCATGGACGAACCTCCACTGGTTCGTCCATGGCAGCAGCAACATGTTACAAAAAAAAGAGAGACGGGAAAGGGAGAGAAAGGAGAAAGGGAAGGAAAAGAAAGAAGAGAGGGGTGCGGGAAAGGAGGAAGAGAAGAAAACGAAAAAAAAAAGGGGACGAACCTGGTTCGTCCATGGCGATCGGGTAGAGAGAGGGGAGAAGAAAGGAAGAAGAAGAAGAAAGAGAAACGGGAAAGAGAGAGGAGAAAAGGGAAATTGAAAAAAAAAGAAAAAGGGGTTTTGATCTTAAGTTATGCTTGAAATGGGTTTTGGGTTTGGTTTTTGGGTTTTTTTTTGGTTTTAAATGTTGTGGGTTAGGTGGCCCAACCCACGGGTTAATGGATCTGGATTGAAATTTCGAGTCCGGTCCGCAAATAAAAAAAAAAGAAGAGAAATTCGAGCTGGACAGCCAAAAAAAAAAAAAAAAAGAAAAGAAAAAAGAGTGAATTTTTTTTTTGGGATTTTGTTATTTCGTATTAAAATTAGCTATTGAATTGTTTTTATTATTTTAATTAATGTAATTTTTAATCCGGAATTTATTTTATGTATGCTCGTTACTAATTTAAATTTCGGTATTTGATTTCTTTTATTTAATTCATTTAGCTTTAATTTATTTGTTTATTAATTAGGTTTAGTAAGTAATAAGTAGAAGATTGTCAAGTCTCCTAAGTTTTAGGGATCGATGATAACCCTTCTTAAAAAGAAAGAAATAAATAAATAAAATATAATAATAAAATAAAAGAAAAAAAATAACAAAAAAAAATCATAAAACGTTTTAACAAAGTCTCCTATCTAATAGGGATCGTTGTTAGTAAAAAAAAAAAAAGTTTTTTTTTCTAATAAACAAGTGTTCTCCGGCACACCGGTTGTGTCGAGACTCGAAAAAGGTGGATCCGATGTTTGAGCCGACGTGTCTCTCGATGAAAGGGGTCCGACGATCGTTTCAATACGATGCCACGCTCGAAAATAAAAAACTTAATTTGACTTGAAAAATTGGAGTCTCGAAAACTGAAAAATAATTTGGCAAAAATAAAATACTTTAGGAGATAATTTAGGACTAAGCTACATGTGGTACCTTTCTTAGAAAAGGGCACTTTTGGGTGATTAATTATCTTCCCATAAGCGTAACCGACTCCTTACCATAGAATCTACGAACCGAGTGCCAATTTTAGGCTCCTAGTTCCTTCGATACTAGGTGGCGACTCCAAACTCTGCAAATAGTCTTATAAATAAAATAAAGATCTAAAACTAGTGATATCACCGGATAGATTTTTTTTTTATGGGAGTCTCGTCCGACGTCGGGTAGCGACGGAATGGCGACTCCATTGGGGAGATATGTCGGGCCATAAGTTTAGTCCTTGCAAATTTATTTTCTTTATTTACTTTTGCCGTTTATTTCTTTATGTCTCCTTTATTTTTCAAGTCATTTATTTTCTTGTATTATTTTATTGTCTTTAAATTTTTGCAATTTATTTCCTTTTAATTTTATACATACTTAATGCATTTTGAGCTGGGTTATATGTTTTGTTTTTGAACTTGTTGCACACACGCCACGAATGAAACCTACAAAAGCTGCGGACCGAGCTAAACCACGTTATGATTTAGATAGAGAGATTTGGAGGCAAGTATGACGAAAGTCTACGATGCTCTTCGGACTCTTGTTTGGACTGGAACTCGCCCTATGTATAGGAAATGGTGGAATAACCTTCCCTACCTCCTAACACATAAGGTCGGAGGCTGGATTACCCCACTGGTAATTTAGACGGTTCGAGAGCTTGAAAAGATTCGGGATTAGACCGAACTTCGCCAAATTGTACACGAGCTAGATCCTATCCACTTAGGGTTGACTCGATTAAGACACGAATCATTTTCCAATGATGTAAATACTAACCCTCGATTCTTGCGGGTGGTCCTTCACGTTAAATCATGACGAAGAAACCGAAATGACATTGAGGATTTTAGGGTCGGATCGGAGCGGGCCCAAATTGATGAGGGAGATTGTTTGCCCCAGAGCTTTGTGTCAAAGCTGCTGAGAAAGCAAAACTCTCCGACAAGCTACCCAATATGGGACCACTACTTAGTTCTTTGGGAAATGCTTATTTCTACCGATAGGTTTGACTTCCAAAAGATGTATGGTGATATAGCTCGAGCTGCTTAAGATCAAGGTTCGGATCTCGTGCTTCCAAGCCATGATAGGGCATTGGGATCCGGAATACCGTTGTTTCACTTTTGGGAGTGTGGATATGTCGCCCACACTAGAAGAGTATGAGGCTTTGCTAGCATTTCCTGAATCAAAGGCGATCTATTTCTACGACCCTCCCGAACAAGCTCTAGCACACTTCACATGGTTAGCTGGAATAAACTTGACCATTGCTCGATAAGCAAAGGACGCGAGAGGAGTTAAACGCATGGATGGTTTTGGAATCTCCTCCAAACGGAATTCACAAAACACCTACATGATAAGGACAATAGCCTCGGACTCGGAATGCGGCATTGGGCATATATGGGTTGGTACTATTACCGTCGAGTTGAAGGTATGATCGACTTCGAAGCGGTAAATGTGTTCAAAAGTGTAGTATCTCTCAAAATCAACCCTACCGCTGCAATCCTAGCGAAACACTCTCATCTTTGAATTTTTGTCGAAGGAAAGGGGAGGGACATTTGAGGTGCTTGTGTCCCACTACTTGTTTGTTTGGACGGTTAGCCACATAGTGACTGGTAAGGCCTCGGGTATCTTTCGCACGCCATGGCACTTACATTCCAAACTAGAGAACTTTGCTAGACACCCCCTCGATGAGTTGGGAAAAACGGTATGGACGGGTATGTTACGGAGTTTAGAGAAGTCGGAATTTCACTTGGAGGGCACGATATGCTTTTTTTGGTCTTACTTGGCTTATTGTGGAGATTATCCTTGGGTACCGTTAATCGGAGCACGTTGTTGTATCGGTATTGCCAGAATATGTTCTCGAGACAGTTGGGTTTTGAACGGTTTATACTGAGAACCATGGATTTGGGTGAGTGTTATGAAGATTTGAAAGTCTCAAGGAAACTTTTGGAAAAAGCAAAAGTCTGCGTGGAGAAATAGAGAGATAGTCACTCTCGAAAGAAGAGTAGACGGAAGAACCACACCGGGGTATCCTAAATGGCAAAGCATTAGGGGAAAAGGATATCGTGCGCCACCATTCGAGGGTCCCTCTCGGCGAGGAGTGAGACGATGGAGGATATCCACCAAGAGATGAATGCCCGACATGAAGTATTTAATGAAGTCCCGAATACTCAAGTAACCGAACTAACTCAAAAGAAAAGAAAGTTGGAAGAAACTTTTGACTTGAAAGACCACGCAATGAGTGCTTTAGAAAAAGAAAACAAGGAGCTTCGTGATCAACTTCAACGATCAAAGGGGTTAGTAAGACGGATAAAGAAGGATCATCGATCGCTCGATGAAAAACATGAGAATGCAACCAAACTCACGGTTTCTCGATGGATGAGTTAACTAATCTTCGTGATGAGAAAATGGTTGTTGAAAGGGAAAGAGATGTCCGAGGAGGGAAATAGGCTGAATGGGGAAGTAGGACCATGGAATACCACTTGCAAGCCCGGAATGCTAAGAATTATGCCCTACACATGCGACACACCATAGAGGATTTAGGCGATGGCATACATCCGGAGACGAGCAAGTTCGGCTCTTTTTGAGCAACTC